TTCGCCACCCTGAATGTTTTTGATTGGGGCGTTGTTGATCTTGGCGGGGCAAGATGTGCCGATCCTGGCAGCGGTAGAAGGAATCAGCGACAACGGAGTCGATCTGACTTTTGTCGAAGAGATTAGCGACTTGGCGCAGCGAGTAGCACATGGGAAACGCGTGCGCTTGCTGCGTTTCGCGAAGGCCAGGAGAGCTGCACTCCAGTTCAATAATGCACGCTCTCGCCGCGAGCGCGAAAAGGTATCTGTCGACGCTGAGCCGAATGTAGTTGGGATTCGCTGTGAGTTGCGCGCTGCTGATTACGGGGGTGTAGCAGTCACCCGTGGTTTCTGGCCATTGGACTTCCCGGGCCAGTTGATATTCGCGAGAAGCGGGGGGCCTCATTCGATGGAAAACGTCGCTGACGGGGATGCAGCGGCGGACGCCGTCGGTGGCGAGGCGCAGTCCGCTCGTAAGTTCTTCATTGCGATAGCGAAGCATAGGTTTCTGTCTGACCCAGCAACAGGAGCTGGAACGGCCGAGCGAAGACCGCAAGAGTATTGAGATCGACCGAGGGAAGGGCACACGCGCAGTAAGGAGTGGCTCGCGCGGGAAATATCCCTCGTAGTGATTGATGCACCCCGTCGCAGTGCGAATCCAGTGGGCCTGCGTAAAGACGGGGGGTCGATCTCGTGTTCTGTGCTTGCGTTGTCTAAGGCGTGGGGGGAGGCTATGCTGAGATGCGGATGTGCGCGTGCTCTGTGGAGGCTGCGTCCCTCGTTGGCCCAGATGCTCGATCTCTATCAGGAGCATTCAAGTGCGGTGAGATTCTGCCTCCTGGGGCTGCCATGCAAGATGTCCTTGACATCTTCGGAAGTGAACGGGGCATTGATGGTCCTTGCCAACCAATGGATGCACGGGAGAACTCGGATAGAGCCATCAAGAGGCATGGCATGTGGTATACTACGAGCGCTATCTGGATGATGATGATGATGAGTGATCCTGAACTGTGGGTTCAATATGTGATCCAGCAAGCGGCCGCTGCGTCGGTGGCTGGGATTGATCGGTCATGCCTCCGCCGCCTCTGCCGGGGTCGTGTGCGGTGGAGCCCGTCGGTCGGAAAGCAGGTCCGGATTCTGGGCGCGATTGGTTGGCGGAGCGGACGACGCGCGACATTCTGCGACCTGGTGTCTCTTAGAAGTGGAGCGAAAAGAAAGGGATCGGCAGCATGGCGAAACAGATGGCGCCCCGCTGGGAAGTACCAGTCCCACGGCAAGGGCGGCAGTGGGGCGGAGGCAAGGGTGGCTGGAGTGCTTCCTCATTCAAATAGCATTGGGTCAGTGATGCGTGCGCGAGTCGTTTGGTAGATGACGGTCAATGGTGGAGCAGAAGTAATGATGTTGGCGGTGCCGGCAGCGGCGGCTGGAGCTGGGAGAGGAGACAGTGGCGAGACAGCTCGAGTTCGGGAAGTCACCAGGGACGAAGGACTCTGACAATACATGTGGCAATGAGACAAGGGCGGCTTCAAGAGGCAAGCGAGGTCGCGGCGAGCCGCGGGTCGACGTGGCTGGCAGAGCGGTCAGCGCTGGGTCGCCCCGCGGGCCTGGCGAATCTTGTAGGGGTCCGTCCAGCGATCGAGCCTTCGCTTCTGCCGCAGGACTAGGCGCTGCGCGGATCGGGGGCGCTGCAGAATTCTCTGGGGGCGGGCGCCCATTGGCGCGGTGTGCTGAAGGCTAGCGCGCGGGGTGCAGTTGCTCGGGATCCCGCCGCGAGGGCTGTCGTTGCCTTCGTTCCCTCCGCCTCCCATCTTTTTTGACCCGCCCCCGCCTGCCGTTGTTGGCGTCTGGCCTAAGTATTTGCGGAGCGCAATTGGCGCTTCGTTGCAGGTAGAATGGGGGCGCGCGTCGCCCGCGCATGCGCTGCTATGTTGTCCGTTAGCGTTGAGGGCCGCGTGGCCCCGAATGTTCATGCGACGTGGTCTACTGAGCTCGGAGAAGAGGATGAGCGGGCGCCCCGCGTGTCGGGTTAGAGTTATTATCGGGCCACGCATGGCGAGTGAGTGGCCAGAAACTCTCGAGTGGGGGCCTCCTTCCCATGGGGCCGCGCGATCGTGTTTGCAATCCGAGCGGGTCGTCCAAAACCCGTGCCTGTCGTCGCGCTGGCGGTCCCGATGTAGTCTTGGGGCAGTCTCGGGCAGGAGCCTCTCCCCCGAATACATGACGTGTGTGTGTGTGTGTGTGTGTGTGTGTGTGTGTGTGTGTGTGTGTGTGTGTGTGTGTGTGTGTGTGTGTGTGTGTTGGGGGGCCCGAGCGGGGGCCGTCTCCGGGTGGGGCCGCGAGATCACGTCAGAAATCCTAGCGGGCCGTTCAAAACATGTAACTATTGCTACTCTTTGGGCCCCAGATTGAATCATAATGGGGTCTCGAGCAGGAGACTCGTCTGTGAGTGAACTGCGAGGAAGTCTCGAATCGCGGCCTCCTCCCCTTCTGGGCAGCCAGGGTATGTTAGTGGTCCGTGCGGGTCAGCCAAGACATGTGATTCTCGTCGGTTTTGGGCTCCTGAGGCTTGAGCCAGGAGGAAATCTCGAGCGAAGGCCTCGTCTCTGAGTGCGTTGTTAGGGAGTCTTGAGCGGGGGGGGGCGCTCCCTATGGGCCCGCCAGATCATGCTGGCAGTCCGAGCGGGCCATCCCGCACCGATGGCTGTCGTCATTTGGGCGTGGATCTGGGGGGGTCTCGAGCCGGAGCTACGTTTGTGAGTGAATTGTGATGAAGTCTCGATTGTCCCCCCCTCTCCCCATGGGCTCCCCTTCCTGCGGGCTTATTCGGCTGGGCTACGGCATGGGCGTCTATTGGGAGGCATTGGTGAGGTGGGCCACCGTGCGCGCTCGTCGCGACGCGCGGCGTCTGGGCGTGCCCGTCTGGGCGGAAAACGAAGCAGAATAATCATTAGAAGTTGTAGATTGTGCAGGAGCCGCAGGCCGCCGTCGCGTCCTTCGGGTTCCACCCCGAGGGCGAGCGGCGGTGCGAGGAACGCGGGCCAGACCAGCTCTTTCGCCCTCGCTTCTGACCACGGGGAGTCTGGCTGTATGGTCATGGATTTAAAGGATTTCCGATTTTCGATGAGGTTGCCGAGCTGTTGCGACAGGGCGGCGAAGGCGCTGGCGACGACGGCCAGGCCGAGGCGCGGGCGCGGAGCTTGCTCCTGTCCAAGCCCAGCGTGCACGAGCTCACGTGGCCGAGCTCGGAGCCGCGCGTCGTGCGCTGCTCGGGGTTTGCCCTGGCGCGTGCGTCCTACTTCACTTCCGCGCCGTCGCGAGGTTCGGGCGCTGCCCGAGGGCGCCGCCGTCGACTGTGCCAAGGATGCTGGCGCTGGCCGCGCGGGCATGTCAGACGAGCAGTGCTGCGCCTGTGCGTCGCGCTCTCCCACGCCGCGCGCTTGCGTAACAGCTGATTATGCGGCCGCCTTCGCGGGAACTTCTGGGGCGCGGGCCGCCGGCGTCCTCTCGGAAGGCGGTCGGGGAGTTCGACGAGAGAGCGGCGAACTCCAAGGCTGAGGTCGAGCAGCTTGCCGCAGAGCTTGGTTTCGCTCTGCCTTCCGCCCGAGCGCGGCCGTGCCCCGTTCAAACCCCGCGGGGTTGTTCCATCGGCTTGGTCTCGCGCGCCAGCGGCCCGCGAGTTTGTCCCAACCGCGTGGCTCGAGAGGTTGCCCTGGCGGTTTCGCAATCTGGCCAAAAGATTTAATCCCCTGCCGACCGAAGCGGCGACGGCGTCAAGCAAACCACGCGCGCGCCCTTGCTATAGGAATGGGAGAGGTGGCGGGAGGGGAGGAACCGCAGGAGGCGAGGAGGAGGCGGAGGCAAAGCAGGGGGCCAGCAGAGGGCCTGCGCCAGAGGTGAAAGGAGACTGGCGCAGGGGACAGGGAAAGAGCTTCCACACTCTCAGGGACGACGATGACGGTTGCCTCCAGATCAACCGAGAAGATTATCAAGTGGGGTCTTACCGTTGGATTTTCCAATGTTTTGTAGGCTTACGACGGCTTCTAAAGGGCTTTGGGGGCGGTAGCCCCCATGAGGTTTGAAGAGGGGCATCAGTGTTCAAAACCTTGTCCCTTGATCCTCGAGCCTCGATCATCGTTCCTCCATCTTGGATGCTCGATCGCCGCTCCTCATCCTCGCCCTTGGCGGAAGACCAGCGGGCGCCAGCGGAAGTCCAACAGGGGGTGTTCTTCCGCCGGAAGCCGGCGGCACGTCGGTGGAAGGCGGCGGAAGTCTATGGGAGACGTGAGAGAATTTCCGGGTCCAGGCATTTCGTGAGCTTTCCAAAGGGGCCTCGTGAGGGACTATTGGGGACCTTTGTGGGTTTTTCAAAGGCCACTGTGGGCCCGCCCAGAGTGGCCAAAAGCGTGTTGAGCGCGATGGTCTCGCCGAGCTTTCTCGCAGGGAGGGTTGGTTTAACATTCTTGGGGGCGCATGGGCGGGCCTTCGGGCCGTCATGGAACACTCGTCGGGGCTCTGTATGGGGGCTCCCAGACAGTCTTGGGGCCGTCTGGCGGCTGCGACTTGCGCCGACCCGGGCCGCGCGGACCCTGGGCCCAGAATCTGTGCAAAGGGCTTCCGGGCAAATCTGGAGGGGCGTATCGCCAATCCTGGCCTGGATGGGTCCCGTCTGGACCGGCGTTGCCGTATGCACATGGTGCCTTCCTACTATCGATCCTTGCGGCTCGGTGCTCGATCCTCCCCCCCCGCATCACTACCGCGCGGCCCCTTGCGCGCCCGCGCGCGTGTGCTCCCCGCTTGCCACGCTGGTGTCGCGCGCGGGGTCCGAGCTTGTGCCGACGCGTGCGCTTGCGTTTTGCCCGATCGCAAGTGGCAGCGTCTGGGGATGGATGGGTGGATGGGGGAGGATCAGGACCGAGAGTCCTCTGCCTCCGCGAGGGTCGAGGCAGGACGTTTGACTTTTGTGTTCTTCCAGGGCCTTCGGAGGCCGCTGGGCAGGCAGGAAGGCATGGAATGAGGGAGGGAGGGAGCAGCCATTTTGGCTCAATCGTCCGGCCAGGGTCTGCATAGCTCCTTTTGCAGGTTTCCAGTCGCTGCTGCCACCTTAGCTGCGCACCTCAATGGGGTGCAGCAACTCGAAAGCATCAGACTCTGTGACCAAGCAGGGCTCAGGCACGCCACTTACTGGCAAGGAGCAAGACAAGAAGGTGGCGAAAGAACAGAACAATGAGTACCAGGCCACCATGCAGTTTTTAGGCAAGGTGCAGCTCTTCAAACGGCTACCCAAAGACCAGCACCCGCTGCTCGCGGGTGCAGTGGAGCCCCAGGAGTTCAAGGCTGGTAGCGTTGTGATCAAGCAGGGGGACCCTGGCTCTGAGTTCTTTATCATCAAGAGCGGAGAGGCCAGCGTCAAGGTCACCACAGACGGGGCCACGAAGACTGTCGCCACCCTGAAGCCCGGCGACTACTTCGGCGAGAACGCCCTGCTACGCGACGAGCCTCGTGCCGCCACCATCTCGGCGGAGACCGACCTTGTTACCTTCAAGCTCGGGCGAGAGAAATTCTGCAACCTGGGCCTGAACGAGAAGCTGCAGTTCGCCAACCGCAAGGCCGTGGGACAGGGCGCCGGCCGTACGGTGCAGACGAAACCCCCGTCTCCGAAGACCGACGCCGAGCGGGTATTGATTGGGGAGGCGCTCAGGAGCAACGAGAATTTAAACACCATGGTGACTCTCGACGACAAGCGCGTGAAGAAACTGACCGACGTCGCCTGGAAGGAGACGGTGCAGAAGGGGCAGACCATCATCACAGAGGGTGACATGATCGCGGACTATTTCTACATCGTCGCGGAAGGCCTCTTCGAGGTCCTCGTCCCCGCAGAGGATGGAAACAGCAACTCGCTCGAGGTAGTCACCACTGTGAGGAAGGGTGGCAGTTTTGGTGAGTTGGCACTGCTCTACCTGGTCCCCCGTGCAGCCACCGTCAAAGCCAAGGAATCCTCGGTGGTGTGGGTGATAGACCGCACTCAGTTCAAGAACGTCTTGATGCAGTCCGAAGATTCGAAGATAGCAGAGTACATCAAATATCTCGGCCGAGTGGGGGTGCTTGAGTGTCTGCTGGCGGAGGAGAAGACGGCCATCGCAAAGGCACTGGTCGAGATGCACTTCCAGAAGGGCGAAGTCGTCCTTCAGCAGGGAGAGCCCGGCAGCACTTTTTACATTCTCTTCGACGGCGAGGTGGTTGTGACGAAGAACGACGTGGAGCAGGTGCGCATGAAGGCGACCCACGACACCTGTCATTTCTTCGGCGAGCGCGCGCTTCTCAACAACGAACCGCGAGCCGCGACGGTGGCGGTTGTCTCGGAGACTGCGAAGGCGCTGGTTCTGGACAGGGACTCGTTCAATATGCTCCTCGGTCCGCTGGCGGACATCATCGCCCGGGGCGCGCCAGAAAAGCAAGCGAGAAGCTCCATAAAGGACGATCCCTCCAAGGCCCAAATGGCTAAGTTCACCAGGAAGGAGGGCGAGCGCATTCACCGCAAGGACCTGCAACGCGTCGGGCTTCTCGGCTGCGGGGGGTTCGGCGCGGTGGAGCTGTGGGAGCACAGGGTGACCGGTGAGACGTACGCCATGAAGGGCCTCAGCAAGGGCTACGTGGTGCAGACTGGCATGCAGCAGAGCGTAATGAATGAAAAGAACATCCTGCTGATGACGAACTCCCCGTTCATCATTCGGCTGTACTTGTGATGTTCCAATCTACTTTAGCCTTGATCACCAGAAGGCATTTCGAGCGCCAAAAAAGTACCCGAAGCTCGAGGGTTTTCACGTGTCGGGCCCTGGGAGACACTGTTTCGACACTGTTTCGACACTCTTTCGACACTTTTGCCGGGTGCTCGAAATCATTTCTGGGATGTTGTCCTTAAGTGATTACGATGGGAGCAACACAAGGCTGTACATGACGTACAACGGGTCGCAGACCCTCTACTTCCTGATGGAGCCCGCCCTGGGCGGCGAGCTCTACGCCACCTACAACAAGAAAGGCCTCCATGGCAGCGAGAGGCACGCGAAGTACTACATCGCGGGGACGGTCTTCGCCTTCCAGCACATGCACGAGCGCCGCATCATCTACAGAGATCTCAAGCCCGAGAACCTCTTGCTCACAGAATTGGGCCACCTCAAGGTCACGGACATGGGCCTCGCCAAGTTCGTGATCGGGAAGACCTACACAACGTGCGGCACGCCCGACTACTTCGCCCCCGAGCTGATCGCATCCTCAGGCCGTCTCCTTTTCATTATCCTTCTTCTCCTCCTGCTTGTCTTCGCCGCGTTTGTCGCCGCCGCCGCCGCCAACGTCGTCGTCGTCGTCGTCGTCGTCGTCGTCGTCGTCGTTGTCGTCGTCGTCGTCGTCGTCGTCGTCGTAGTCGTCGTCGTCGTCGTCGTCGTCGTCGTCGTCGTCGTCGTCGTCGTCGTCGTCGTCGTCGTCGTCGTCTCTCTCTCCCGCATCCCGGGATCGGCCGAGGGCCCCGCACGGCCCCGTGACCGCCAGACGCCGCGGCCGCGGCGGAGGGGGCCTGCTGCTCTCCTTCGCCCTCGGGCGCCGCTCGCCGCTGCACGGCGTGGCCCCCGCGGCGACTCTGGGCCTCCGCCTCCTCCGCCTCCCCCCTCCCCCCCTCCTCCCCTGCCAGCCGCCGTCCCGGCCCGAGGCTTTTGGGTGCAGGTATACAGGATACCTGCGGAGCCTCGCGGGACTGGCGGCCATACGCGCTCGCCCGCGCCATCGCTGGTGGCGTGCGGGCCGGCCGTGCTGCTGCGTTGCGGCGTGCGACGCCCCCAGAGCGGGCAGGCGCACGACGGCGCGGGCGCCCGCTTCGAGCAGGGCGCGGCGCCGGCTGCGAGTGTGCGAGCCCGCCTGGCACAGGCGCGCTCGCGAGCGGCGCACGCAGTCGCGCACATTGCTGCGAGTCGCCGCTGCCGCGGCGAGGCTGCGCGCGCACCACAGCAACGGGCTGATGTCAGGCCGTGCTGGAGGCGGCGGCAAGGGCGGCCAGGGCCGCAAGGGCAGCGGCAAGGCCAGCTCGGGCGGTGGCCACAGCGGGCAGAGTGGCAGCACTCCCCCGTGGGCCGTGCCGCCGCCGCCGCCCGGATGGTGGTGCCCGACGTGCGGAGGACTCAATGGCCCTGCTGATGCCCTGTGCCGCTCCTGTTTCCCTCTTCCCGAGCATGGACCGATGCATGGAGACGGAGGAGGGACAGCCCCGCCCGCGCGCGGGCCCGCGTGGAGACGGCCGCCAGCCTCGTTCTGCCTCGAGGCGTCGCCGACGCGGCGGCAAGGGCGAGGCACGTCAGCCGGAGGCGGAGCCGAGGCCGCGGTCAGCCTCGCGAGTCCGCTTCGAGGACGAGGACACTGAGGACGGCGGAGGCGGTCCGCGGCAGAGGTCGGCCTCGAGCCGCCGCCGGCGCTCCGCCGACGGCGATGGCCGTCGGAGGCGGTCTGCTGGAGGCGAATCTGATGCATCAGATGGTGACGAGGACGGCCGCAGCCCCGCGCTCGGCATCCTCCCCGCGCTCCCGTCGGATGCGCGAGCTCACCCAGCCTGGGTCGAGCCGCCGTCGGATGAGCGCGGGCTCACGGCCCACAGGCGCTCACTGCGCCAGATGGCGGCCGCCACGGGCAAGAGGCTGCAGGCAGCCATCGAGCTCGGCATGAGCCTTGAGCAGAGGCGGCCGCAGGAGGAGGAGTATGCCGTGCAGCTCAGCATGATCATCCTGGCCCGCCCAGCTGGCGTACGATGCGACCGCCAGCGCAGCTTCGCCCAGCGCGCACAGGCCAAGCTGGAGAAGGCCGAGGCCGCAGCTGCGCGGGCGCGTGAGGAGCTCGCGGAGTTGGAGGCCAAGGTGGGTCAGCGCGCCGAGGCCCTCGGCCGCGCCAAGACGCTCCTGGAGCAGCTCGAGGCCATGGTCCCCGCGGGCGACGAGCCGATGGAGGAGCCCATCACGCCGACGCCCGTGGCGGGCGCTGAAGGCGATGCAGCCCCAGCCACGCCGCCCGACCGCGCGCCGCCCATCGCGGCCATCGCCGAGCTGCAGGCTGGCCAGGCGGCCCTCACCCAGCAGCTAGTCGGCCTCACGCAGCTGCTGACGACGATGCAGGGCCAGATGGCGGCGGCGCGCGGTGGGGCGGCACACGGCGATGCGCCTGCGCCTGATGTGCGGCCCTTTGCAGGGCCCCCCCAGCGCCTGGGGCCAGTCGCCCCCGCGCCCAGGCCAGAGGCGCCCGCCGTGGCCTACCCCGTGCCGGCCGACGCACCTGTGGCCCGAGGCCCCCAGGGGGGGGCCCCGCCTGCGGGCGCCGCCGTGGGTGCTGCATGGGGCGCTGCCGGACCCGCCGCCGCCGACGCCGTCGAGGTCCCAGTCAGCGCCGAGGAGGACGCTGCTGCGGCTGCCACGGCTGAGGCAGCCCGCAAGGTGAGGGCAGCTCAACGTGCTGAGAGGAAGGCTGCAGAACGTGCACGTCGCCCTGATGGCCAGCAGGGACTACGAGACGCGTTGGCTCGCCAGGCGTCAGCGCGGCCAGGTGCGTGCAGCCGCCGAGGCCGCGGCGCCCTGCCGCCGTCGCCGCGCGGCCGTGCCGCCGTTGCCGCAGAAGCAGGAGAGGATGCTGTCGCAGGTGCAGCCAGCCGCCGCCAGAGGCACAGCCGCAGCCACAGCCCTCGGCGCGAAGCGCCAGATGGCTTCATGCTGTGCGGCGGCCGCGCCGGCTCCACCGAGGGCAGCGAGGGGGCGACGTCGACGCTGGGGTGATGTGTCACGGCGGGCGGGCCACGGGGAGCGAGAGGGCTGCCACTGAGCCGTCTCAAGGCCCGCCTGCGACTGGCGTTGCGCCAGTCAGGCCGACTGACACAAGCGGCGACCTTGTTGACCGAACCGAGGGTCGATCCGTGAGGGGTGGGGGCCATAGTGGGCGCTCCGAAAGGAACTCGCGAAGCCCCCGCCCCACAGCGGCGCTCGCCGAGGTAAGGTCGACGAGTGCTGCCGCGCCATCACCTCGGATGGAGTCCGAGGCCAAGCAGCAGCCATGCTGCCCAATTCCAGATTGCACTGAGCTAGTCAGGCTACTGTGTCAGCCCTGGCTATCTTGCTCTCTCACTCCCGTCTTTCTTGGGCCAAATCAATTGCCCGAACATTGCCTCTTTCATCATTACCTTCATAGTAGTACCTGCCGTTTTTTGAGACCCACGGAGCTTCTCCCCCCCCCGACAGTGAGCAGGTTGTCAGGATGGAGATACATGCGGACGGGTCTGGTGGAACCAAACAACGGCACTTGGGTGGACCACCGTCTTGGGCATGGTGCGTGTTTTCAGTCACGACGACAGGCAGGTACATCTGTGAAGGGTACTTGTGTGGTGTCGATCCTGATCTCTCCACCTCTGTTGCGAGCCCGTCTGGAGCTGCAGAATTTCAAGCTGCACTGTGGCTGGTGCTATGGTTATTGCAAGCTCCTCCTCGTTTTCGGGCCCAACCCGTGGTGGTATACACAGATAACATGCTGGTGGTTTCCGCTGCCGACGGGGGAACGAGGCATGTGTCGTGCGGTGATTTCCCATGGCTTTTTGACGGAACCCTCAAGTTATTACGTCAGTTTACGAAGCTGAGCTGGAATCACGTTCACGGCCACAATGCCGATCCGCTGAATGAGCTTGCAGATACCATGGCACGACTGGCCTCCATGGGTATTGCGCCGACAGTAGAGCCTGACTTTCAACCGTGGTCAGTTTTGCTCACGTCGGCCTCTCTTGTACCATGGATGTGGATGTCCGCCAGCACCAACGTCGGTCATGGGGAGTATCCGAACGTTGGCGCATGCGAAATGCCCTCCATCAACCCTCCCGAGCTAGATCTCAGAACTGCCTTCTTGCCACCAGCTGGACGCGGCTCGGAAAACTCGTCTGTGCCTCGAGTATCTCCGACATCAGGTTTGCGGCCGCAGGTGAATTTTGCAGTGGCGAACGTACTCACACTGCAGCCCCGCAGGAAGGCAGCCCGGCGAGGGAGAGGTACTCGAATACGGTGTCGGTGCCAAGATGCGGCCGGCCTGGGTTTGCCCGGACGCATGCTCGCACTGGCTCATCAGTTCTCCGCGCACAACTTTCATGTGGTTGGCTCGCTCGAGACTCGGTTGTGTCGTGACGGTTGGACAGCAGCAGGAGATTTTCTTGTCATTACCGCAGCAGCCGAATCCAAGGGGAAAGCAGGAGTGGCCCTACGGATTAACACACAACATGAGTACGCATGTGGGCACACGCTGGCGCGCCGTCACGTACGTGTCATCAGTTTCTCGTCTCGGCATTTGTTGGTAGCCATACGTGCGCCGCACATGTGTTTGGACGTGCTCGTCGGCCATGCTCCTCACTCTCGCCGTCCTCCTGCTGAAGTCGAAGCATGGTGGGCTCATGTGACGTCAGTGCTACGTGGGCGAACCCAGCCGGCCCCCCTGTACTGTCTATTGGATGCGAATGCGACTTTGGGATCACAGGTGTCAGAACATGTCGGTGACGTGGCGGCCGAGGTTGAACATGCCAATGGACAGTGCTTTCACAAGTTCCTGCGTGACTCGGACCAGTGTGCGTTGTCTACGTTTCTGCCGTCATACTCTGGGATCCATGGGACCTGGGCTCAGGGCCAAAACCTGCAGCGACGTATCGACTACATTACGATCCCTACGGGCCAACTATCCAGCGTCATTCGTCAAGGAGTCGATATCGAGATCGAGCTAGCGATGCGATGTGACGACCACTTTGTGGTAACTGCTGATGTGTACGTGTGCCGTGCCGATCAGTATGAGCCAGCCGTCACATGGACACGCTCCCGACACGACGAGGCTAAGTATGCTGATCCCGAGTGTCGTGCTGCGTTTGAAGATGCCCTCCGTATGGTGCCCTCGCCGACGTTCACAACGCACCCAGACGATCATGCCGCATATCTCAACAGGCATATCTTGGAGGCCGCTGCTCTCGCATTTCCGCCCAAAAGGTCCGACAGTGGCCGTGAGCCCCGTCGCAGTTGGATTTCCCAGGGATCCCTCGACCTTATGGATCAGCGCACGGCTGGGAGACGTGCGCTTCGGGCCCTACGGGCTCAGCTACCCAGGCTTCTACTGGCGTGTGTATTTGTGGCGTGGGCCTCGGACGGGGCCATGGATGGCGAATGGTTCTGTCACCGAACACGTCGTTTCCGACATAGTGAACGTGACGGGCCGTCGCGCCATCCATTCTTGCAG